TTTCAGAGGTTTTTCAGTAGCAAAAACCTCATTTTGAATTCCAAAATTGGAGGGGTTAGCCTCCCCTCCTTGTGTCTTGTTTGCATGGCTAGTTAGCTTATTGTTATAGCCTTTTGTGGCTTAAGTCCAACATGTTTTAGACTATATTTAGGGCTATTTTGCCTCTATTTTTGGTTGGTTAAATTATTTTAGCCTTGTATAACATAGTTGTAGTGCAATTTCCTTCACTAGCTTTTACTAGCTTGGTGTTTTAGGGCTTTAATCACCATTATTTTGAGTAAATAGCATGTTTTAGTATTGTTTTGCATTTAATTTCAGCACTTTAATCTCTGCAATCTCCCTCAATTCTTCACTCTTTTGTTTGCTTTGAAAGTGGTTTTAAACCCCTTGTTTGCCTAAGTGTGAAATGGAAGTGCTACACCTAATTGTTTAATCCCTTAGGGGATTCATTACAACCAGTGTAATACCTCTTTCATGCCCAAAGCTACTTGTGATTTGAGCCATCTTTCCATTAGATGACATTCACCAATGGACAATTGGATTAATGAATGGTTTGGTAATTAAAATGAGTAAATAAAATTGGACAAGTAAAACAGGCAAGATAAGCATCTTTCGTGTTGCATTGCACATGTTCGAATCGGACGTCAATTCGAACATAAGGAAAATGGGACATTTCATACTCAAAAGTGATGAAATGTGTGACTTTTCTTGGTCACCATTACCCTTGATCATGCATGATAGGGTGGTGGTCTTTTTAGTCTTGTTTTGTATTTATTAAACTTGTACAAACTTGGTTCTTTAGCTATCATGCATGGAAATTGCTTGATTGATGGTTTGAGGGTCAAGAGTTACATTCATTTGAGCTTGTTTGATGATAAGGAGGGTAATAGTACAAACAATCCTTGAGAATACATAGCTTTGCCTCTGTTTGCTCTCTGTTGCAATAAGAGGAAGTTCAAGATAGAAGTGGTCGATCGGCCACCAGCAGTAACCGATCGGCCACCATTGGTAGCCGACCGGCCATCAATGAAATTTGCACAGTGTGTTGATAAGGTGGAGCAGAGGTGTTCTGAAAATTGATGGCATTGCCAGTGTTCAAATGTGCAAACAGAGGCATTCAGTGGCAATGCGGTGGCTTTTTTGGATAGAAACCGAGCATGCATGGGCCTCCCTCGCTTCCCGCCATTAGCTAATTAGATTAATTAGCACTAGATGAAATACATGCTGTAACTATTTAAGTAGAGTAGTTAGTTAATTACTTCATGTTGTAATTAATTAGCTTAATTGCTTTGTAATTAATTAGTTAAGTGTTTAGCTAATTAATTTGATTTGTAATATTTAATTAGCTTAGAATAGCTTAGTTAATTCATTTCTAGTGTTGTAATAGTTAGCTTAATTAGCGTACCTAGTTGGTTAGTTTATTCATTCAAACCCTCCTTTGCGAGGGCATAATGTTGTAATAAGAGTGCGTGTGTGTATGTTTTCCAATCCCACGTCTTTCTCCTTTTTATTTAATCGCTTTTGATGGTTAGATTAGGATCATATTTCAATTAGCATATCGCATGCTTGCATCCATTCATTTGTCTTGCATGCACCGAGGCTCGACGCATCATTCAAACTGCATCGTTATTTTAATATCTTATTTGAATACGTGTTTAATTGCATGTTGTTCAAATCGATCCATATGCCATATTATTATCCGAGCCTATTAATTGCATTCTTCGCATGCATTGCATTAGACATCTTGCACAGTTAGGATCATGCATTTTTCTAACTAGTTTATGTTTTGGCTTGGAGTACTCGGTCAGTTTTTATGCTTTAGCATACTTGCATGAGTGTGATTATCATATTGCCATGATTAGCATGCTTGCTATAAGGCTATGTGCTTACTTGCTAAACTGCATGAATGCCTGTGGATGAAGGCTTGTTGTTTGAATTGGAACAATTCAACGAATGTGTGTTTTAAGCCCACTTTGTTGAGTGGCAAGTCATTTTTAAGCCCACCATATTTGGTGGCAAATCCGCAACTTTTAAGCCCACTTGAGGTGAATTCAAACCATTTTCAAAAAAACAAACATGAGTTGAATTATTCTAAATTGAGCAAACTAGTCTATACTTGCTTGTGCGCATCACATAGTAAAACTAGTTTAAATAACCGGAATAAGAACGCATAATGTTTATAAAATATCATATCATGATTAGTAGAGGTCGATCTTTGATCGGGCAAGCGGGGTGCTCAATTCATGACCTACCCCTCTCGTACCTAAGTTCCCAAGCTGAGACAACTTTGATGACGACAGACACGTAGCCTTTGGCACGAGTTAGGGTTTCCTAAATTTTCCCCAAAACAAAGAATATTTAGGTAGCGACTCTGTATCTGAAAAAGCAGTCCAATTTTGGTATTATTTGATTTAAAATCGATTTTTCAAAAAGGTTTGCCAGATTTGGACTCTTTGGTGTTTATCAGTTTCACATTGTACTTGTGAGACTAGATTCAAAACCGCGAGAGTCCAAACTATGATGCCTTCTTTTCAAACCCTTTCCGAAAGGCGAGGCGCGGAAAAATGAAAGTCCACAGTTGGAGGTATTGGTTAGTTATGAAATTTATGATGGATGGTTTGGTTGGCGTTTTGTTAAATTTTTTTTTAATCCCTTGTAATCTTTTGAGCATAGAATTTATTTAAACCTTGTGGAGATGAGAATGTTTAGTTTTTTTTTTATTTCACCCCTAGGATTTGGATGATGGAATATTGGTTGGGGTTTAGTCTTAATTTAATATTTAATTGTCCAAATTTTGGGCGTGACATGCATGGTTCATACTTTTCTTCTCGAATCCAAGAGTGTGAACTTGTAGATGGCAAAATGAGTTTTGTTTTGAAGTTATAGTTTTGTTTGATGTTTAAAGTCTGAAATTGAAGATGTTTTTAAGAGTTTGGGCCTTGTTTTTCATCCATTTGGAGTTGGAGTTTGAAAATGAGGAAGTTCTAGTTTGTAGCAGAATTTCGGACTGGTTTTGAACCCAGACTGCTTGAGCAGCCAACCCTTCTTTGAACCAACATGCATTCTGCTCGCACAAGTGGCTAGACCTACCGCACGAGCCGCCCAAGCCACCACACGTGCAGTTAGTAAGGCCGTCTTAGTTTTGTTTTCTTCTTGTTTTCTCTGACTTTCGGGCCTCCGTTTGCATGGTTTTCAAATGTTTTCATATGCATATGCCTTTCATGAACACAAAAAAAAATGGAGGAATGAATACAAATGGTTTAGGGAATAAGTAACGAATAGGTTATGAATCGATTGAATAGATGGAATGTATCATGAACCATTGTGCTTGCATGTGTTTGTGTAGGTCAGACGCCGCACTGTGATCACATGTTGCATGAAGCCAGTTATGAATAACAACCTTGTAAAGATATGTTCAATTATAAGTATTTTCTGACTTATATTATACTTTGTTTATGAAATAATGATTTCTGTTTAGTTGAATGATTTTCTTATTTTTCTGAACTGTATTCGTGGCATCCTTACATATTGCTATTGTTATTGATATTGTTATCGCTATTGTTACAGAGATCTCTGTCAGTTCCAATCCTTGGAACTATTGTTTGTTGTTTGATGGCCATCAATTGATTGTTCGGTCTTTAAAACCTATTGTATAGTTGCTATTCGATGTACCATGCATGACCTATACAAATATGATTTATTGAATTGTATGATTGAACGATTGATTGACAAAAATATATTGATTGCAACTATTCTATTGATAATCGACTGTTTCAAATATTGTAAGGATATCATTCTTTATCTCTTTACACAGTTGTTATTTACTGAGTTCTAACTCACTGTTTACTATATATTTGTAGGTGATCGAGCATCGGATCAAAGCTAGTGGCGTTGACCCGAATCCTTGTTTTGTCAAGCCAGCTATTGTGCCTCATCGCAAGGTTCCAAACCAACATGTGTTAAGGCTTTTGGGGTGGTTCAAATTCACCCTTTTGATATTGCTAAGTGAAAAGAGTGTTTTATGATTTTTGTTAATACTGTTTTTAATAATGAGATTTAATTCCGTAACTTGTGTCTTGTCTTGTATATGTGTTTTATAGACATAAGTGCTTATGGATATAACTATGCATATAAAAGTTTATTTCTATTCAGATCCTCACAGCTCATTGAACGATATATGTTATTATTGATTGGTTTCTGCCAGCCCCTTTATATTGTATGATTGTCATTATTATTAAACAGGCCTTCGGTAATCACAGATTACTAGCTAGTTACGATGCTAAACCTATATGGGCGGGTTTGAATCGTGACAATTAGCGCCTAGATTGATCGACTTGTAGTTTGAAAATTAGATTTATGACCCAAGTATCCAAAATAAAATACACAATTGTAAATTTAAATTTAATATAATTCACAGATATTATAAATTTGATCCATATATTTTATTTTTTGAATACTAAACAAAATACTTGTTCAATGTATATAACATTGTTGTTCATCATAGATCTTGGCATGAAAGTTAGAACAAGATATTTGAGAATTTTTTAATTAGTAACGTTGTAAATATTGACTTTAATACAATGAAACATGGAAAACAAACAATTTGTTTTATTTAGGCCAAGTTTGGGAAGTCTCAAATAATCCATCTTTTTATTTTTTTTTCATCACATCATATCTCTACTTTTCTATACATCTTTTCGTAAAAAGACAAAAAGTACACTTATTTAGGTCATACCAAACAATCCCTTAATACTCAACAAAGAATGTTCACAAGCATAACCAACCAAACACCACCACAATCAATAATATCTCACAAACTCATTCAAACAATACATATACTTACTAGGGCAAAAAAAAAAAAAATGATAGAACCAATAAACCAATTGAATCCGGTCCAAACCATCAGTTTGATCCGGTTTTTATTACTTTTAGTTCTCATCCAAGTTTTGAAAATGGTTGAACCGTTCAAATTTGTCCGGTTCACAGTTTTAACGCCTCGCTTAACGTGTGCATTCAGGTGGGAGGCCCTGTGGAAAACGCTTCAAATCGCTGCAGTAGTTGTAAACCATGTAATACTTTTGGACCCATCGAAGTCTCGTTCGGCCAGCTGCATCGAGCCCCTGAGTCTGCCACTCGGCACCAGACAACACAGAGCTTGTCGTCATGGAAGAGCAAGAAGATGAAGAAGAAGAAGATGGTACACAAGCGTTGGCGTTGAAGTTTCTGTAAAAAGCAGTGAATGGAGCTTTGGACCAGTCCGTTTTCACAAGACCTCCTTGTGTTGCCCAGTCATCGGCGTTCCAGAGGCTGGAGTATATTCTCATGGGTTGGTTTTTAGGGTATGGTACTCCAGTGGTGGCCTCTTCGTTTTTGAATACTCTTATGGGTTTGTTGTCTACGAAGAAACTGCAGGAAGGGTTTGAAATCAAACACGTTAGTTGTTGGTAGGAATATAGTCATAACGTGTATTATGGAGACTATTGGACATAAAAATATCATGGCATAGCTACTCAATATTAATTTCACCGAAATGTACTCAATATTAATTTCACCGAAATGTACTCAATATTAATTTCACCGAAATGTACTCAATATTAATTTCACCGAAATGTACTCAATATTAATTTCACCGAAATGTACTCAATATTAATTTCACCGAAATGTACTCAATATTAATTTCACCGAAATGTACTCAATATTAATTTCACCGAAATGTACTCAATATTAATTTCACCGAAATGTACTCAATATTAATTTCACCGAAATGTACTCAATATTAATTTCACCGAAATGTACTCAATATTAATTTCACCGAAATGTACTCAATATTAATTTCACCGAAATGTACTCAATATTAATTTCACCGAAATGTACTCAATATTAATTTCACCGAAATGTACTCAATATTAATTTCACCGAAATGTACTCAATATTAATTTCACCGAAATGTACTCAATATTAATTTCACCGAAATGTACTCAATATTAATTTCACCGAAATGTACTCAATATTAATTTCACCGAAATGTACTCAATATTAATTTCACCGAAATGTACTCAATATTAATTTCACCGAAATGTACTCAATATTAATTTCACCGAAATGTACTCAATATTAATTTCACCGAAATGTACTCAATATTAATTTCACCGAAATGTACTCAATATTAATTTCACCGAAATGTACTCAATATTAATTTCACCGAAATGTACTCAATATTAATTTCACCGAAATGTACTCAATATTAATTTCACCGAAATGTACTCAATATTAATTTCACCGAAATGTACTCAATATTAATTTCACCGAAATGTACTCAATATTAATTTCACCGAAATGTACTCAATATTAATTTCACCGAAATGTACTCAATATTAATTTCACCGAAATGTACTCAATATTAATTTCACCGAAATGTACTCAATATTAATTTCACCGAAATGTACTCAATATTAATTTCACCGAAATGTACTCAATATTAATTTCACCGAAATGTACTCAATATTAATTTCACCGAAATGTACTCAATATTAATTTCACCGAAATGTACTCAATATTAATTTCACCGAAATGTACTCAATATTAATTTCACCGAAATGTACTCAATATTAATTTCACCGAAATGTACTCAATATTAATTTCACCGAAATGTACTCAATATTAATTTCACCGAAATGTACTCAATATTAATTTCACCGAAATGTACTCAATATTAATTTCACCGAAATGTACTCAATATTAATTTCACCGAAATGTACTCAATATTAATTTCACCGAAATGTACTCAATATTAATTTCACCGAAATGTACTCAATATTAATTTCACCGAAATGTACTCAATATTAATTTCACCGAAATGTACTCAATATTAATTTCACCGAAATGTACTCAATATTAATTTCACCGAAATGTACTCAATATTAATTTCACCGAAATGTACTCAATATTAATTTCACCGAAATGTACTCAATATTAATTTCACCGAAATGTACTCAATATTAATTTCACCGAAATGTACTCAATATTAATTTCACCGAAATGTACTCAATATTAATTTCACCGAAATGTACTCAATATTAATTTCACCGAAATGTACTCAATATTAATTTCACCGAAATGTACTCAATATTAATTTCACCGAAATGTACTCAATATTAATTTCACCGAAATGTCTCTCACAAAAAAAGTCAAAAAAGCCAAAAAGCCCTTCCCAAACCAGGCTAAAATAGCCAAAAAGTCAAAAAGCTAAAAAACCAACCCACTTCCCAAACGGAGGCTTAGTAGCTTAGGTTTTTTTATCTCACCTTTACATTGTATAAGTGATTTCAAAATTTTAAAATTTAATAACTTTTATTTACATTTTTATTTTTTGTAAAATATTTCTGACAATGTCTTTCAAACAAATACATAAGTGATATGAAATTCTAAAGACAGAACAAATCATTTCGTTTGGAAAGTGGGTTGGTTTTTTGGCTTTTTTAACTATTTTAATCTGGGCTAAAAAGCTTGATTTGGAAATAGCTTTTTGACTTTTTGACTTTTTTGTGAGAGAAAAGTGTAATGATTATGGGTTGGATGTAATATTTTGTTTATTGTGACTAAAATAGCCTATTTTGTCTTTTGTGGCTAAAATAGTCAAAAAAGCCCATAAACCAACTTGTCAAACAGAGGCTAAATTTTACTGAATCACTGATTTGGTCATCGAAATTTCACTGACTTAGGTCAGTTAAATTTTAGTGACTTGATTATCAAAATTTCACTAACTTCATTGTCTTGGTCATTGAAATTTCACTGACCAACCAAAATTTCACTAACTTAAACTGACTTGGTAATCAAAATTTCACTAATCAACTGAAATTTCATTCATTTAGACTTGGTCATCAAAATTTCACTGACCTGTCTTAAGTCATTGAAATTTTGTCAACTTTTTTTTTTAGAATTTTGCATTCATCATTGAGCTTATTTTATAGATCTTCATGAAACGATTAAAAATATACAAATTTTATAAAATAAAATTTTAAAAACCCAAAGATTTAGATCAAAAGTTATAGAATTTTAAAATTTTTAAATGAGTTGAAAAAGTTAAAGAATTTGTCACCATATGTTTTGGATGATCTAAATTACTATTAAAAATTTTATTATTCTTATCCTTCTAAAAAAAATATTATTAGGGATCTTAAACGAAAAATTTCAACTTTAAAAGATGAAATGAACCTAGTTTATTAATAGAAAAAATTTAAGGGCCCATAATATCATACAATGCTTTCGAAAGGTTGAGAGTCATTAACATATAATTCCTACATCCAGTGAAAATATTATATTTAATTCTATAATTGGATTTTCCGTTCATAGAAAAACTATTATTAATATGATAAAAATTCATTTCAAAATTTGTTTATATGATATTACTTTACAATAAATATTATTCATCTATACTATTATTAAAGGGAAAATTATACTAACAGTCCCTATAGTTTGGGATTCATGTCACTTTGGTTCTTGCCTTTTCAATTGCGACATATTTGATCCTGTATTTTGAATCTTATTCCAAATAAGAATAATTGAAGATATCATTACTTAATTTTAAGGGCAAAATCGTCAATTTGATAAAATATAAACTAATTTGACAAAAATAAATGTCAAAAAAATATTTTTAAAATTTTAAAAATTATTTGTACACACCAAAGATAAAATTATGTAAAATTGATATTTTTTTGGACATTTATTTTTTTTTTTTTTTACCAAATTAATTTTTATTATGTGTTTAGATGATGATCAGGTAATGAGTAGTTATTAAGATTTTAATGTGTAATCAATATATTTAATATATAAAATGTTTTTAGTTTTGTATTTTTTAATTTATTGGATTGGTTTAATAACGATATCAAAGTTGTTGCCATATTTCACTTTTGAAAATATAGAAACTAATTTAATGAAAATAAAAACAATCACTCATTACTTGATCATCATCTAAACACATAATAAAAATAAATTTGATATTAAATAAATAAATAAATGTCTAAAAGATTTATTAATTTTACATAATTTTATATTTAGTTGGTAGAAATAATGTTTTTAAATTCAAAAATATTTTTTTGACATTTATTTTTGTCAAATTAGTTTATATTTAATCAAATTGACGATTTTGTCTTTGAAATTAAGCAATGATATTTTCAATTGTCCTTATTTGGAACAAAATTTAAAATTCATGATCAAATGTGTCACAATTGAAAAATCATAGACTAAAGTAATACAAGTCGCAAACTATAGGGACCGTTAGTGTGATTCACTATTTTATAAAATACAAGCAACAATTCGTATTTTAAGCTAATCATAAGAGCCAATTCGTGTTTTAATATTTATAATTTATACTAAAAGAATTGAATCTGAAATAGTTAAATTTAATAATGACAATTATTTGAAATAGTTGGATAGTAGTTACATAGAATAGATTATTTTACAGAAATAAAAAACGTTATGACATCCATACTAACTTATGAGTTGCTCCAAGGTCATCCCCTCTGGCTCAATCTCTTGGGCGAAATACAGTTAGTTAACAATTTGGATCTCAAGTTATCTAATAAGTATTTCGTGTGGGTTTAATACTCCTCCGTTGTACGAGTCCTAACTTAAGCGGAGCTTGTCTTGGGAGGTCGGGGCAAGTTCCCAGGTTATAGTCTCCTCGCGCAAAACGGCTAATAGGATACCTTGGTAATCTCTGCAAGTGGCGCTGCCTTGGACCTGCGGGAGGGTAGGGAGGATTTTCCTGTAACAAAAAAAAAAAAAAACTTATGAGTTAATTTTATATAATAATATAAATGACAGTGCTAAAGTTAAAATTTAATATGCTATAATGCTAAAATTTTTATTTTAATTTTGACAATATTATTTCACTCATGTAAATACTATTTCTAGCATATTCAAAACATTTCTATTTATTAGATGTTTCTTACTTCTTGGCTATTAGATCAAACTATTTTTGATTGAGTTAACACAAATAATAAAATTACACATATATATGTGAGACATTTAGTAAAAATATTAGTAAAATATTTAAAATTCTTAACATTTTTCATTATATTATTTTAAATTCTTTGTCAATTTTGTGAATGGAATAGAGATTTATCATTTTATTAGTAATTGCAATAAAAAATGCACATCATCAATTCTTGATTTTAAATTTTAAAAAAACAAAAAAAATTGAAGAAAGTTTAAAAAATTATGGTAACATTAATTTTATTTTAGATAAATTACAAATACACCTGCTAAGGTTTGTTTAAAATATAAATTTCTCCATGTGATTTTGAATATTACATCCCACCCT